AATAATTTGCCCTCCTACTTTGAAGTCACCGAGCCCATCCAGAGCTTCCTTGGTAAGGCATTCGCTGTACAAGTTGAACAGAATTGGTGATAAACAGCATCCTTGTCGAACTCCTCTTCCAATCTGCACACTTCCTGTCTCCCCCCTGTCCAGTCGTACTCTAACTTTCTGATCCATGTACAATTTGCTAATCAATCTTCTTTCATGCCAATCGATACCTGTTTCTTTCAGGATCTGCATTAATTTGGTCCAGTTTACCCGGTCAAATGCCTTCTGCCAGTCTATATATATATTTTTTTTTATTGTAGTTTCAAATAATGACGTCACATAAGTTAGAACGAACGTGTTGTCACTAATAAGAATCACTTTCTCACATTATGGTTGACGACAATTGAAGGCATAGTAAGAATAATAATAATAAAAAAGGTAAAGCTATCCCTGTAACAGGCCACTTTGATACATAGAGTTGTGAGACGTCGAGGCTCCCACATTTTCTAGACATTAGGCTCACAGATGGCCGTGAGTTTGTCAGCCTTATACGCCAACCTGTCTTTAACCCTGGGAAGTTTCCTTGTACTCATTTCTAACAAAGGCTGAGTTGAACCCATGGCCATAGTGCGGCCAAAGTGAAAAATGTGTTGTTTCAGTTCAAAATTCTATACAACAAAAAAACTGCCACGTGATAGGCAATTTTTGTGGCCGGATTTTAATCAGCATTCAGAATTAATTTATATAATCATCTTTTAATTTACCGCAACTTTATTCCCTTATGTTTTATATGTCAATCATTTACTCATGTAGCTTAGCCCTTTTTGAGAAGCCGCCAATTGTGCAGCTACTCGGGAACTTACCAGCATTATGTGAACCCGAAATTCATTACCATGTTCACAAGAGCTTTCAACTGGTCCCTATCCTGAGCCAGATCGATCCGTCCATACCATCCCATCCTATCTCTCTAATACCCATAAAAAATTAATTGGCTTCAAAACCGCAAAGATGGACAAATAAGAGGTTGGAGAAAGTAGTATAATGAGGAGCTTCATAACTATTACTTTTCACTATATGCAATTATTATTATACAGTTATAATTAGAACGGTCAAGTCAAGGCAGATGAGATGGGCAGGACATGTGGCACTAATGGGGAGAAGAGGAGTACATGTAGGATATTGGTGGTAAAGCCAGAAGGAAAGGCCTAGTCGTGGTTGGGAGTATAATATTACAATGGATCTTAGTGAAATAGGCTTGGATGGTGTGGACTGGTTTCATCTTTCACAGGATAGGGACCATAGGCAGGATTTTGTGAACATGGTAATGAACTTTTTCTTTCCATAACATGTTGAAAAATTCTTTAGTATTTGAATGACTGGTGGGTACTCAAGAAGGACTCATTTTCCTTGAAAATTGATTGATTCACATGTATCGTCTACAAGAACAAATTTGTTTTCCGTGTTGTGTGTTATGATGGATTTGTATGATTGTAGGCTCACTGGCAGATTCACTGACAGACAAGGAATGCTTCCCATATGAAGATGTCCCACATTTCCCGGTTTCAACAGTGAGAGGCCATACGGGTCAGTTGGTGTTTGGTCTACTAGATGGAGTGCCTGTCATGTGCATGCAGGGACGATTCCATTACTATGAGGGCTATCCCATCTGCAAGGTAGTTTTTGGAATCTTGAGAAGTTGATTTTTCAAATCAGTATTGGCACACATTATGTCCTGCTTCAGTTGGGAATGCAGGAATTTCTGGGCGTGGCTTTTATTGATGATCTTTGGTGGAATTGCAGTGGAAGTTTAAAAAAATCGCCCAATTATTTTCTTCTGTTTCTTTGCCATATTTTCGACCTTCTTCCTCATCTTTCAACCTTTTGTCGCATTCTCATCTTACTTTCCTTTCTCTTCCTTCCACATCCACATTCTTCTCTTTCAGATATCCTCTTCCTTCCCTCCCTCCTCCTCATTGCCTTTTGTTCCCTCCTAATCCTCATCCATCTCCTCTTCCTACCTCTTCTCTTTATATTCCCCTCCGCCATTATATTATTATTTTTCTTCTCTTATTCAGTTCACCCTATTTTGTCTTCTACCCCATAAAACTACTCATTGGGAGCATACAGGTGTTAAAACATGGGAATGTGATCTACTACCCATCCTCCATAACCTAACCTTCAGCTCTGTAACTTAACCTAACTGTCTTGCACACACAGTGATAATTATTCTGTATTCTAGTGTGCAATGCCTGTTCGTGTGATGAAGATGGTTGGAGTAAAGTACCTGATAGCAACAAACGCTGCTGGCGGCCTTAATGAGAAGTATAAAGTTGGTGACATAATGGTTATCAAGGATCACGTCAACTTTATGGGTTTTGCTGGCGTCAACCCTTTGAGAGGTCCAAATGATGAGAGGTGAGGCATTTATCTGAAATTTTGATAATGTTTTCTATTTACTGCCCAAGTCTTAATCACACATTCTTATAAGAAGCGAGACAAACTCCATGGTACATTGTCTTGGCCAAGAAGAAGAATAAAGAAAATCAAAACTATTTAAACAGTTATTTTCCTATCCTGAATACCTTAAGGCAGTCAATAGATATTGTCTTAAACAGCATGAGTGTAAGTTTCTAAGAAAATTTTTTGGTTTCCCCTTCCCTTGGAAAACTAGGTTCTCCCCTCCACCATTGATAATATCTGTCCTTGCCCCTGATGGGACCCCCATATCCGGAACCAAAGAAACTTAACACCACTTGATGCCACTTAACACAGATTTCATTTTGAAATGAAGTATTTTAAGTCACATTTTACGACAAATGTTATGTTTCTGGGCTTTATCCATCGTCCTGTTTTTATTTAAAAACGCAACGTTTTGGAGAATGGATTTTGTCTCCGTCTTCAGGTGAAACCTACTCAGTTGGGTTCAGTCGACTGAGCTAGTCCCAATGGTTATACATGAAGATGGAGACAGAATCCAATCTCTGAAATGTCGTGTATTTAAATAAAAAGAGGGCGGTGTTTTAGACGAAAGCAGGACAATGGATAATGTCCAGAAACATAATTTTTGTATTAATGTTCTATCGTCACAAAGTTTTAGATCAGATTTTAGGGTCAGATTTCACCCTTTGAATGTTTTTTACATCTTCTTTGTGCTTCCATTTTTTTTTGCTTTGTTTCTCTGTTATTTTATTAGAGGTAAAGCTAATTTTCTTAATATATTTTGTTTCATTTTAAATGCTTTTCCTGTCAAGGTTTGGGCCACGATTTCCTGCAGTGAGCAAAGCATATGATGCCAGTTTGAGGGCAGCGGCCATGAAAATTGGCAGGGACTTGGGCATTGAGGATTCTCTACATGAAGGGGTTTACACATGTCTTGGTGGGCCAAATTTTGAGACTGTGGCAGAACTTTCTGCGATGAAAATTCTTGGAATTGATGCAGTTGGTGAGTTGATCTTAAATAATATCTTAACATTATTATACATGCAATAAATTATCAAAGTACATTGTGATAATTTGGTGGTAGTGAATGTTTTTAGACAGGTCTTCTTAGCACGTGTTAAACATATTCTTCGCTGAACAATTAATTGACATATGCTGTCATATTCAGATTTTTAAATAACCATCTCTTATTTTATTTTATTTTTTTTTGGTATTCCAAAATTCACATTGTTTAAACTTCGGTTTTGAAGATTATATTATTGTATATTGAAAATATTTTACGTCAAAATATTCCTATACATGATGAAACCTAATAATCTAAACTAATTAAAGCACTTTTGTGTTCAGACTATAGAATTTTTGGATTACCAGATTACAAATTAAGAATTATAATTTTAAGTAAACTAATTTATTCAAAAGGCCGTGCCATAGCTCAAGCAGTTAGTCACTAGCTTCCCACCGTGGTGGCCTGGATTCAATCCCGGGCCTGGTCAAGTGTGATTTGTGATGGACAAAGTGGCACTGGGGCAGGATTTCTCTGACTGCTTTGGCTTCCCCTGCCAGTCTTCATTCCACTAAATACTCCATCATCATAATCATCAGGGGCAGATACAATAGGCCAATCAGTGGCTGCTGTGCCTAGTGGACCCAGCTGGACTCCACCCCACACTAAGCGAATTTATTCAAAAAGTTATAGGTACAGCTTCTATATTAACAATGACCAGAACCCATGGATATTTGACTACATGCCAAGTTCAGGGAAAATGATAACCAGGTTACATCTCTCACCACCCAGAAAAGCAGGTCCGTTAACACACAGTATCACGTTTCATAAGAATACATTTTTACTGCAAGGAAGTGAAACTATTTTGAGAGGGGCCTGGTGCTGTCAGTCAGTATGGATTACCGAGAGTTTGGATTCAGACAGCTTCTGTTTACTGGGGTTACACTGTACTGAGGTATGGCTTTCCTGTATAGGGTGTGGAGTACTCAAAGGTTGATGTAAATATTTATCACATTGTTTATATATTCTGCCTAGTGGCCCATTTTGGGGAATGGTTATGAATTAGTTTCTTGTGCATTCAGCCCATTCTATATACTTATGTTTGCACATGTTTATGTTAGTTCTAATCATAAAGAGCATTGTAGTGCTATCTTGTATGTCCTTGTAACAAAATGTGACACTTCCGCTCCAACAGAAACATTCAGGATAGCCACACACCAAATCAAAGAAAACATAAAAATCCAACAAAACGACAAACCAAACACATACATGGCAACAGCATGATAAACCACACAAGCTAGAATTAGTCCAATGCAGTTACATAAGAAAAGCAGAGCAGTTTTACAGCACAGCAGCATATTCCTTCAACACAACATCTTGTAACCTGATGATAGCCATTTAGGCTGAAACATGTAGTGATAAACAATAGGGAGAAGAAGATGAGTGAATATTGACCAAAGTTGTGGAATGCAAAGTCAGATCTACGCAGTGCAACAGGATGCTACAATATAATATTAAGTTTGGACTAGTTTTGATAAAAATCTTGGGGGCACGCGGTAGCATAGTTGGTTGAGGCACTATGCTACAAGCCAGAAGGTTGCGGGTTAAAGTCTTGATGAGGTCGTTGGATTTTTTTCAATTGACCTAATCCTTCTGGCCGCACTATGGCCCTGGGGCTGACTCAGCTTCTAACAGAAATGAGTACCAGGAATATTCTTGGCATATTCTCGGGGGGTAAAGGGCAGCCAGCATGTAGGCTCACAACCTTGCAGCCATCTATGAGCCTCGACATCTCACAACCCTAAGGACCTCCACAGCCTGTTACAGGGGTAGCTTTACTTACTTTTACTTTGATTGAAATCTTACTGAAGGAGCTTTCATATCTGTTTTGACCCTTTTAAGATATTTACAAAAGCATTACTGAATTGGAAATTAGGAGGTAATAACAGAGAGAGGAGGCCAGTATTATTATGCAATAAATGCCTATTTTTACTTTATTTTATTTTATTTTTTGTTTTAACAGGTATGAGCACCGTCCACGAGGTCATTGTGGCTTGTCACAGTGGCATGACTGTCTTTGCATTCAGCCTTATCACTAACAAATGTGTGACCACATATGATGAAGAAGTTGTTGCCAACCATGAAGAAGTAATAGAAGCTGGTAGGGAGAGGGAGGATGTTCTGAAGGCTTTTGTCTCCAACCTGGTCCAACACATTCGAAATAATCCACCAGGGAAATAAATATAGTTCCATATGATCACTTATTAGAGAATGTTAGCATAATAGTAACCTGATTCCAAGAACAGATATGTCAAAGAATATGAAGCAGGCCCATTTAATTATAAGACACAGATGGTAATCTTAAAAATACATTGTTAATCTCTCATGCATGCCTTTCTAATATACCTCATGGAAATTCTATTCATATAATGCATTTTTCTAAATATTTTTGAAGCATTTTGCAAATCATGTGTATCCATCCAAGCAAGAAAAATTGTGAAAGACTTCTCATTGCTAAAGACACATTAGCTGCTCTAATGTATCAGACATTGAACATGACTCAGGTTACAAATAAATGTTTGTTTGTACCAAGGCAGGAACTGACCCATGAGTTCCAGTCAGAACTCAACAAGAAGTCTCCTTTCTTTCTACCTGTGTAAGGAACAGGAGAGTGTGAGTTCTTAGGAGGATAATCAGATAACAGATTCCCAGAAAATGGCTGGTGGGTCTATGTGTGTAGACAACCAAACAGCAAGAGACTGATACCTAATATTTCATATTTCAATGTTTCCTCACCCCTCGTATATATACAGGGTGTTTCACGACTTTAGGGCATAACTGCAGGAGGTGATTTCCTAAGTCTTTGTGATCAAAAAAGTTCTTATAAACATGTGTCCGATTTTGGATGGTTACTCAGAATAGAAGGTAACGATTACTGACAATAAACGGGACAAAATAATAAACCAGTATAATACATGATACATTTAAAGTATGAATGTAAAGTTAACTTTGTGAAATTACCTTTAATTTGACTTTATTGGTGCTTAAAGCTGATATTCGAAAATGCCACCGCCGGCTGCAACACAGGCTGCCGCTCCCCTTAATACCATCTTACTTCTACAATGCCTGAAGTAATACATTCCACCCTAGATGCTTCCCAATTACTGTAGCAGGATCATAAAAATATGGAAGCCAAAAGATGATGTGTATGTTACTGTGTCAAGTTACACATGTTGGGGGTGTTGTTAAAATTTGCCGCAAGAAAATAAGTGCAATTGCTCACAACCTTCATTCAGTGCTTGAATTCTGTATTTCCCCTTGAGTAAGTTATTAAAATTAGCCTTATTTACTTACTTACGGAGCTAAGTCCTTCTTGAGGAGAAGCCAAATCTACAGCTACTCAAGAATTTCCCAGCATTTTATGTAACCTGAAGGTTCATTACTGTGTTCACAAGAGCCCTCCACTGGTCCCCATCCTGAGCCAGATCAATCCAATCCATCCCATCCTGTCTCTCTCTAAGATCCATTTTAATATTGTCCACCCAACTATGCCTTGGTCTTCCCAGTGGTCTCTTTCCTTCTGGCTTTCCCACCAATATCCTATGCATTCCTCTTCTCATCCATTTGTGCTATGTGCCATTAATTTTAGCATGCATGAGAAAAATATTATCATTCATAACATTCAAGTACTTCTCTGAAACTTTTAACTTAAAGTATCTTAATGTTAAGCTGATGATTTATTGATTATTGATTTTTAGGTATCTGATGACACTGTTTAAGCTGCACAGATTATTTAGCACCATACTGAAAGATGAGTCGACACATATAAGAATAGCTCTGATCTTAATTCTGTCAAATGGCATCTTTGGTGATTTTTTCAAATCATAGATTTTTTCACGTTTAATGTTGTAACATTGTAGAGAATGAAAGTAATCATATAAGACAGATTTTAGGATCTAATATCACCTTGTAAATCAGTATATATATTTATTGCAGACAGCTGCATGATAGTTACATTTCCATAATTCAAAATAAAAAGATTAATATTTTATCAACATTCTTATAAAATCACGTGCCATTCTGTCTTCTCTTTGTCACCAAATTTTGCATACAGAAAGGTTTGGTGGAGGTATTTTGCACCAGTTCAAAATGAGATGGAGAATGGGAAATAATCCCATTCATTATATTGTAGAACAAATGCATTGCATCCACAATTGCAGTATTCTTCATTAGTAATATGAGTGCAAAATACATTGGGGAACAACTCGTCAAAAGGTTATCCTTTTATGTCATTATAGTGAGGTCCATCAAGTGAAACAACATTTTCTTTATTGTGTAAAATCTGTGCCCACAAGCTATATATCTGAAATTTAATGCTTGCCTTTCTGGTCTCTTTTCTGCCTGTAAGAGTTAAAGATAAAGAAATTTTCACGTTTACTCAATATGTCGAGACTTTTGTCTTAGTAGCTGTCACAGGCAAAGGTATGTGCTAAACCCTACAAGGCAAAGAATTTCTAAATTGTTGGAGTATGGGAAGAAAACATAAGTATTATCAGGGTGAGCATTCTTAATACTAAGCCATTTAAGATATATGATGTAATGAACTGACACCTTACACTGATTACAACATGGATAAAAAAGAGTTGTAGATGTCTAAGGGAAAAATTGACATATGTTTGTGGGGGAGGGCGCAATTTAATTGTGCACCACTGTCTTTAATTTATTGTTCTTTTATCATATTTAGTAACTAAGGCAACATGAATATTTTATACTATAATTTATTTGTTGCATAATGATTTTATATAGATCCATGATGTAACATCGTCTTAAGAAAATTATTTATTTACTATGTACTACATCATCTTAGAATATTACATAAAATTTTACAGTTGTACAAATTACATCTCATAATTTTGTTTATTTTAGGTGTCATCTAGCACTTTTGTTATGTTCCTAATACTAAATATTATATGACTATATATTAGAAACTACAACATTCTTAGAATTTTACAGAGTTCAGTTAGAATTTATATTATAATTCTGTCGTCTGTTTTGAATGTTCCTCATATTTTAGCTACTGGACTGATTTGTGATACTGAACTAACATGTAAATATGCATGAGTACTGAATTTACAAGTAACATTTGTATTTAGACAATGTATAGGAGCCGGGTTAGCTCAGTTGTTATAGCGACTGACTATGGGGTGGACGACCAAGGGGTTGGAGTTCTTGCCCCAATAGGGTCAAGAATTTTCTCATCTCCATGTCGTCCAGTCTGGCTCTGGGGCTCACCTAGCCTTCTATCCAACAGGTACCTGGGGGGTAAAGCAGTAAGGGCATGAAGCTGACTGTTCACCTCCAGCTGGTGCTGAGGTTAAGAAAACTTGAATCTGTACATCCACTCCCCATAAGTGTTTATGGTGTATTGCTTACTTAATTAAAGACAGGGACGACTTTCACTTTAATTTACATGGTGTATGCTCAAAGTAAAAATACTATATAATAAAGCAAAGGGATTTAATGCATACATTTGTATTAATAATACAGAAGATAGCCCTCAAATAATGTTTTTTCTTGAAATGTTTAAATTCTGTCAAGAGTAGCAAAGGCAAATAAAATGGTTTGTGCACAATATTAATGGTTTAATAATAAGCAAGGGTACTGGAAAAACTGCAGGGATGTACTGACTGGGTTCCCTGGCCTTAGGATTCTATGAGGTTTTCAAAATTCTGCACTTTATATTCATAGAAGCACATATTTCTTTGCAAGTCTTGTTCTACGTAGTTCGCTATATTCCTTTATGCAGAGACAGTGTTTTGAGATCTATAGTACACTGTTATAATGTCCTAGAAAACATACAATATATATGTACATACTTTATGGGATGAGGTTCTCACGGTGATGAATGTTCACATGCCAATCTTTGGGAATATGAAGCCATGTAGTTTGATAGGTACCAGTGTTTTGGATGAACCTACTGTCTCCATATTCTTTGTAGAAAAGGTGAAGATGGGTACAGCAGGTACTCCTGAAACATTGGTACCTTTCTACCAAACTACATGGTGTCACATCTCACAAGACTGTAATCTGAATCTGTATCCTTATTTTGTAGCTCATAAACTCACTTTATCAGATCGTAACCAATGATGCAATTACACAATGGAAAAAAAAACATTAATTGCATACATGCATGTACTTTATGTTAATTTTGTAGTGTAATTATATTGCTTACTGTGCCAGTGACTTAAGTCTTTCTCTCCAATTTTTATCCTTTTCTTGCTGTACAGTGTCAAATAATTGATGGGAATCCAGGATGCGTGAAAATTTGTCATGACATGCTTTTGTCTCGTTATTTCTGGATCAGATTCAATTTTCAGATAAGAACAACATTTAATAGCAGTGTTCCCATTTTAAGTTTTATTATAATTTCTTTTTGTGTATCGTTTCCATTTTGTTAGGTATACCCTTAATAAGTGAACCAGAATATCTCAGTCAGTATAGTGACTAGACTATGGGTTGGAAGGCCAAGGAATTGCAGTTCAATTCCTGTCAGGGGCAAGAGATTTTGTCTTCGTAATGTCTGAACCTATTCTGGGGCCCATCCAATGAATACCTGGGGGCAGGGGTTCTTTCCCTGGGAAGGAGATAAAGAGGCCGAAGCCTGAAGCTGACCACTCCCCTACATTTAGACAAGCGTCTACATGAGCACACAAAATGCGTCCGTTGTAACGAACGTCGTGACATCCGTTGTAGAAATAAACGAGAGGCGAATGCTAAGCTTTCTTCTGGCTCCATTGCAGACAAAAAACTACGCACCGCATTCTGCAACTGTGTGGCGTCCTCAACAACGTCCGTCATAAAGTACGTTCGTTACAACGGACGCATTTTGTGCACTTGTGTAGACGCTGCCTTAGTGACGATGTTAAGAATACGTGGAGCTATACCTCCACTTGCCCATACGTCTTCATCCCAGGGTGATTAATTAAATAAGCACAAGGAGAGCGCTAATTTTAACACTTAATAAATTTATGTTATTTATAACAGTCACACTGAGACAGTGTGAAATTTGATAAATACCAACTATATTGGAGATGTGTATTAGTCCATAATTCAGTAAGAGGACAGTGTCCAGACTTTTCAGATGCTTCGAACAGCCTATCCAATCGTACTGCCCAGGCATATTAACTGTATGCTTTGACCTTATGAGATCTTTGTGCTGCCCTCTGCCCCCTTGAGATAACATGTATCACTGTCTGAAGTTNTGAAATTTGATAAATACCAACTATATTGGAGATGTGTATCACTCCATAATTCAGTAAGAGGACAGTGTCCAGACTTTTCAGATGCTTCGAACAGCCCATCCAATCGTACTGCCCAGGCATATTAACTGTATGATTTGACCTTATGAGATCTTTGTGCTGCCCTCTGCCTCCTTGAGATAACATGTATCACTGTCTGAAGTTCAAAATAGACCTATGAGAGTATGGGGCTTCTTACGTCAAACACAGCCACTGCCATGGATCATCACGATCATCAGATCCCCGAGGGACCAAAATTTCTCCAATTGGACTCCTCTATTTGAAGCTGGTTACTTAAGTCAACAACAGGCTCTACAGAATCAATTCGTGACTTTTACTAGCGAGGCTGAACTGCTGAACATTCTTATCTCCATTGATTTACATTTACTATTAGGACACAAGATGAACAAAGAAATATCAGAAGCTGCTTATGATTGTCAAAGGTAATTTCAAATTAGACTTTTATTGCATGATAGTATTCTTCTTACAGCAACTTGGGTTTAACGTTTTAAAGGATAATTAGGTTAACATAAATAAATTATAACACAGAAAGTGCAAGGAAAATACATGTGGAATTTATACAACTTATACACAAAGAGAAGTGGAACTGGGGCACGTTTCCTCCCAACCCCACGACTTAATGAAAACTATACACAAAGACGGCACTCCAAAACCCCAGCAAAATGTAAGTTACAATAAACCGAATCGTCACTATTAGACGAATTGTATTTTAAACAAAATTAGCTTTGCAATGAAGTCTTTCAGGACAATCAGTCATGACAATATGGAATTAGTACCCGAAGTTTTGGGAGTGGACAAGACTCCCTTACTCTGTAACCGGCAGAATTCTGAGTCAGAGATGAAGCCCCAGATTTGAAGTTCGTTAAAGATCAAGGAAGTCTCTGAAATGTGGAGTACTAACTCCACATTGATATGGCTCATTGCCCAAGAAGGCATTGTTGTATGTAGTCACAGTGAAAACTTCAAATCATGAATTAACTATATTTAAGTTTGAATTATTAACTTTAATTGCAGATATTAAATATCGATTTACCAATTTACAACTTTATACACCTTTTGAAGTTCCAAAAATTTGTAATGCTCTTCAAATAGGAGAACTACGTCATAATTTACTTATTAAAAGTTACCAATTATCACCATATCCCACAAGTTGTTAAGGAGAACAGGCTCAAATGCTTTCTTGACACCTACATAGCTATGTATGTATAATCTGCTCGATCATGCCATCGCTCCAAGAGAGTCATGGAGCTAACTTGATTTTGTAATGTTCCGCAAGTGGGATATGGCGCTCTGAAGTATGCTCAAAATAAAGGTAACAAAACGAATTTTTAAGATGTGCACTGAGTATACACATCATAGCAATATTTTATGAACTCTCTCTCTCTACACATGCACATAAACACACGTGCGCCCACACACAAAAATAGCAGTGCTAATCCTTCTGGTCATATGCAGTGGTATTTCAAAAAATAAAAACTGTTAGAGAAATATGCTAGGACTGTTCTTAAAAAGATTACATATTTGTCAATGTATTAAAAGTTTATAGTCTGAAACATACACTGCAGTATGAAAATATGCTATGTATATATATTTTGCATCATGAGTACTGCCACTTTTCTCCAAAAACAGGAAAGTTCCAAGGTGGATTCAGATGGCTCTGGATCAAGCCCGACTACAGGTTTTGGTACTATCAGTTTTGAACCCTTGGGTTCTGTTACCACACCGCTAGTCATATATGTTTGTTTTAGATGAAAAATTCTATGAAATATGGGTACTGGCAGGGGAAGGTGGGGGGCATGCCAGGTGTCTGGCCAGTTGGGATTTTCAAAAAGACAAAATTGAAATTGTGGAAGATAGAAATAAGCCAAATATTAATATAAAAAATTAAAATTATTTGAACAACAATTTATACTATCCTGAATGTCAAGGACCATAAAAATTTCTTCCAACAGCTTAAATGTAAGTTTGTAAGCTAATTTTGTGACTGCCTTCCTGCAGAAAACTTTCTTGTAGCATTCAGCTCAACAATGCATATTATTTGCAATAGGACGTGGGATGCATCAGAGAATTAAGTCAACAGTTACTGCAGAAATTCAGGGAAATAAGAAATACAGTCATCTTAATTATATTATTTAGTGATATGAACTCAGATATAACACCTGGACCTGTATAAGTATGGTCAATTTATAGTTAGGCATTCAGTAATTACTGAAGTTGAAGACTAATCATTCTTAATGAAGCCTGTCTTTAGTAACACAAGGTTCTACTGCACACTTCAACTTGGACAATTACTATTACTGAATCACAATTTCACGTTTTTAATTGTGACACTTATTTTCAGTTACACTTATGAGGACATACAAGAGAGTGGCAATTTTTTGCTAAAAAATACCAAATACAGACCATCAATAGGAATAATTTGTGGCTCAGGCATTGGTAAGTTGTTCTTAAAATTTTTATGTTAATTTCTTAAGTTTTTGAACAGATGTGTCTGTCTAATATACCAATACACTACCATAACACATATTTTCTTTTGATCCCGAATTAGGTGTTGGTGACATTTCAGAGGAAAAAGCTGCCTCCATCTTCGTTATGTTGTATGTAGAGTAAGGAGTGAATTGGGTTATGTAGACATGTTGCAAAGAAGGCTGTCACTTAGACACATATGAGTAACCACTTTCCTTGCAATGTGCGTCCATAACCCGATTCCTAACCCTACACACTTCACTCTGAAGATAAAGGTAACACATTCCTCCAAAAAGTTGCTATCCATTGACAAAACTACATAGTGTCATAACTGAGAATACCACAATCTGAACAATCCCTGCCATGAAAACCTAACCTAATGGTATACATAACAGTCTTATGATACTGGATTATGCTGACCATATTAGAAGATTTGAGTTGTGATATCTTTGTATGACTGTAGGCTCACTGGCAGAATCACTGACAGACAAAGAATGCTTCCCATATAAAAGGATTCCACATTTCCCAGTGTCAACAGTGAGAGGTCATATGTTTCAGCTGGTGTTTGGTCTCCTAGATGGAGTGCCTGTCATGTGTATGCAGGGACGGTGCCATTATTATGAAGGTCTTCCTATCTGCAAGGTAGGTTTGAACAGGGCTGCAATCAGTATATATTGCATTCATCTACACTTTATTTAATGATGATGTCAGTATTTCGAACTTCATACCATCATACAATAGGATGAGTAGTGAATAATGATTGGAAAGAATGTGGAATGAGGCAGTAATGGTTTACTTTGGAGTATTATCCCAGAATTTGCCCGGGGGCACTTACATAAACAGCAAAAAAAACTTGGGCAGGATGGAAAATCTCTAGTCTGAGAATTGAACTAAGATATGACTTAATATGAAGGAATATTGCTAACTTGACTGTGATGTTTACAGTTGATATTTTGCTATCAATAAACGAACAACTGTTTGTTTTTATGTCAAGGTATGCAGTAACATTTTTGTGTCATATGTATTATTTATTTTATTATTCATTCATTTTACTTCAGATTGGATATAATCCTGGCAGTGTGTACAATTACTTTTTCATGTCTGCTCACATCACAAGTGTTCCTTTTGCCATGGTATCTGATACAATTTCTGTTAAAAGTGTATAAATTTACTATTTAAATCACTATTACCAAATGCCTTTGCAGTTGAAGAGTCCTACATTCTGGGATATGTAGTTCAGTGAAAGTCAAGTGATATTTCAGAGAAGCATGTTTTCTTACATCTTGAGGGTCGACGAATTAACTAAGCAAGAAACCAGCATGAATCAAATAGCAAGTTTGTTACCTGCTTTGAACTGTAAGTTGAATGAATGAATGAATGTATAAGGGGTGGGCCTTCTTGGCCCTTGCACCACCACCTGCTGTGATCTATCATGCTTCCCCTTTTGATTATCCCCACAGCAATCCTGCGCTTTGAATGAAGTGTAGGATTTTGTATGTGGGGACATCAAAATAGTCACTTGGTTCCATAAAGTATTGACCCAAGTGACAATCTTAAATAAGTTAAGGCCTTACGTTCACACAGGATATGTGTGACTGGAACCGTAAGTTAGAGGTGATATGTTCCTCCAAAATGTCAACTGAATTTCAACAGATTACATGGCGTCATATCCCAAAAGACAGGACTCTTCATAACCACTGCTGAGAACCTCAAAACCTACATGACTTTATAATTGTATATAACTATTTACAAGTGTAATTACCATTCACTTTCACTGTAGTACATATACAGAAACAATCACAAGTCAGTCAGCACACATTTCATGATTGGTTGATTGCTGGATCAGACACATTATCCTTAATGGGGTGAGACTGAGTCCACTTGCTACTGCAGCCACTATTGGCCTATTGTGAGCTGACACTCCCCTCTTTACCTTTCCTCCTACCGAGGGGGGGGGGGACGCCGCTTCCGTCTCCTAGTTCTTGCTGTTGCGTCTCAATACCTCCCGAGATATAAGGGATGTCCAAGCAGTACAAAAGTTTAATATAACAAGTATAATATGGTACAGTACAATAACTCTCTGACAAACAAATAATAGATCACAATAGTTTAGCTAACAGTTTAGCTTCCAGTTCAGTTTAACAGTTTAGCTAGCCTACAAATAATAGAATACATCATCATACAAGAAAATAATAACCCAATCATTGCCAACCCAAAAATGTAAATATATATATATATATAGCCCCCAGATCGCCAATACGGCCTTTCCTTTAACAAGTATAATAGAATACAGTACAATAACGCCCTGACAAACAAATAATAGATCACGATAGTTTAGCTAACAGTTTAGCTTCCAGTTTAGTTTAACAGTTTAGCAAGCCTACAAATATATGAATACATCATCACCCGAGAAAATAATAAGCCAATATTTGCCAACCAAAAATGTAAATATATATATAGCCCCAGACCGCCAATACGGCTATTCCTTGTCCCAAACTTTCACGGGAAACCCTCCAAACCGAATTTAGACTGGCCACACCCAAAAGGAATTTTGCTTGTTACCTCCTTCCCCGACGTCTCGTTCTAGAGTCCTCGTCTCTCTCTACCCTACTAGTTTCCATAAAACCAGAACCAGGTGGAGGGGAGGGGGGGGATCACGTGATTGGCCAGGACGGAAGAACTTTCTAGACACAAGGAGAAGGAGAAGAAGAAAAAGGGGTGGGGTAGGAAGAGAAGCCGCTGAAAGGAGCCTAAGTATAATGCATGGCTCAATTGTACCAGCCCCAGTGCCACTTTGTCTGCCCCAAATCCCACATGACCTGACCTGGGCTTGAACCCAGACCACCACGGTGGAAAGCCAATGACTGATTGCCTGAGCTATGGCACAGCCAAATCACACACAATCATTCAAGTAGGACCATATACTTCTGACATGGTACTTAAATGCAGAGTGAAGGACATTGATTATATACATTTTCAATAACAAGGATCTCTGCTCCCCATACTCAGTTCAATCATAATATATAATATTGAAAAATACAAACACAGATTTCAAGAAGCTCTTCTATATAAGAAATATTTAATTTTTTTTCCCCCCTTTGGCACTACAGCCTCAGTTTTGGCCTTGGCTACCTCCATGAAACTCCCCGTTTCACTTTGGTTTACTAGATTTAGACATTCGGTAGGACTTCTTGGGTGGCTGCTCAGTTCGTTGCAAGGCCTCTACCTGTACACAAACACAAAAAAACGCCCCCCCCCACACACACACTAAACATCCATGCTGAGTGGGATTCAAACCCATGATCCTGGCTCCCAAGTGAGCGAAGACAGTCTATGCAGAATATTCAATGCAAATTGCAACAGCTGACAACAGAGAGACTACTGTTGGCAAGTCCACCTATGGGCAGAATTAGAATTACCTACAACCAGATGATCCATCATTCTGTCGGCACACTGTGTTACCACTGGCTCAGGCAGTGGCATCATGATTTTATTATGTAAAGGGAAATATCTTATATTCCAGTGTGCAATGCCTGTTCGTGTGATGAAGATGGTTGGGGTGAAGTATCTGATAGCAACAAACGCTGCTGGTGGCATTAATGAAAATTATAAAGTTGGTGACATAATGGTTGTCAAGGATCATGTCAACTTCATGGGACTTGCTGGTGTTAATCCTTTGAGAGGTTTTAATGATGACAGGTGATGCAAAATATAGTTTAATACATTGAAAATGTCATTCAGAAAATATCTGAAAAAAATGTATATACACCACCTAAACAGGAAAGAATTACACTGATGAATATAATGTTAAAATAAAGAACATGACAAAGGATTCAAAAGTTCTGGGTTTTTGAGTTCAAATGTTGTCTTTCTAGCTTTCACCTGTAACATAATATATAGATTTCTAAAAACTTTCTGCAGAATTTAACAATAGGTAAGGTAAGGTAAGGTAAAGTCGTCCCTGTACTTAACTAATTAAGCACTACGCCATGAAGTTGTATGGGGGAGTGGATGTATAGTTCCATATTTTTTTTGATCTCAGCACTAGCTTGAGGTGGGTGGTCAGCTTCACGCCCCTGCCGCTTTACTCCTGGGGAAAGTGCCCCCAGTACCCATTGGATAGGAGGCTGGGTGGGCCCCAGAGCCGGTCTAGACGATGTGGAGAGAGAAAATTCTTGACCCTACCGGAACTTGAACTCTGACCCCTTGGTTGTCCAGCTCATAGCCAGTCGCTATCCTGGCCCCAATGTCACAACAGGGGTGTCCAAAATTGTAATTAGCATGATTGTGTTAGTAGCTGAATGAACACTGAAAGAAAAAGAATTATGGGGAGACATGTAGTCCTCCAAAGATGAAAATCTACTTGAGTGAAATATAGAGATTTGTTTCATGTGATTATTTATTTCTAAGAGTTTATCTGAATTCATTTAAAAAAAAAAGTATTTTTCTTTTAAGATTTGGTTCCCGATTCCCATCAGTAAGCAGAGCGTATGACATTGCTTTGAGAGCACTAGCCAAGAAAATTGGAACAGACATGGGAATTGAGAACTATATGCATGAAGGTGTGTTGTCATGTGCTGGCGGACCTAGCTATGAGACAGTAACAGAACTCCGAGCAATGAAACTTCTAGGCATTGATGCAGCTGGTAAGTCACTAACTATTGAATAATGTGATGTGTATACACTGAGTTTTAATTCTGCGACTTTGAATTTGTGTCACAGACAGAACTACTGCACCCAGTAATTTGGTGTGCCCATGTGCTTATACCATTTCAATTATTATTATTATTACAGCACTGTCTTCTCCTCCTCTTCCTTTCCCTCTTCCTCCTCCTTCTTGTCGTTGTTGTATGTCAAGCAATATGCAAAGAAAAGGATATAATTGAAGAGCAGAGGAGAAGTTATCAGAATGAGTCCCTATACAAACCTCAGTGCAGAGTGACACAGATTCTTAGTCCACACTGTAAAAATATCCAAGACTGACACTTTTCTCAATCTTCTTTTAATACATTATGTTCTGTGTCCATTATATGTAAGCAGTGTCCGTCTTTTAGTGCACTCAATTTTACTTATTACTTCACAACATGTACATTACAACACCCGCAACCAAACAGGGAACACATAACACGACACACGTTATACCTTGAGAATAAGAGGAACGACTCTCATAGTGGTGAAACTATGCGCGGTGTTAGCATTGGGACAGATAAGATAAATAATCTTAACAAGTTTTTAGTATATACATATACATTTATTATAATTGACAAATATTTTTAAATACTTTTTAAATTTTACAATGACATAATGGCAAGAAATGAAATAGATTGATGTAAATGGAGCACCTGATGATGGCACTGTAGTGCCGAAACATGTTGTGAAGTAACAAGTAAAATTGAGTGCACTAAAAGACGGACACTGCTTACATATAATGGACGAAGATCAGTGCAACAGGACGCTAAAATACAACATTATGTTCTGTGTGTAACTTGTGTTAATAGGTATGAGTATTGCCCATGAAGTTATTGTGGCTTGTCAGAGTGGCATGACTGTGTTTGCATTCAGCCTGATCACTAATAAATGTCCAACCACATATGATTCTACACATGTTCCTGACCATGAAGAAGTGATGAAAGTAGGAAACAGCAGGGAGAACATGCTGAAGGAATTTGTGTCCCGTATGGTTCTTCATATGCAGTGCACCGAAGAAAAATAAATTTTCTTCAACCTGGTATCTTCTCATTAGTGTCACTATCATAGTGATATTGCTCATGAAAAAGAAATTGATCCCAAGTGATAAGGATTTCATAACATTCTAGAGCTCTTTCTCATATTAATTTTATTTATAATCAGTATATAATTACTTAACTTTATCAGATAATTGACAAATCACAACCCAGAATTTTGCAGTGATTAACCAGCTATGTGCACCTTTATATTACTGTAATGTTCAGTCTATAAAGGTCTATTAATACAGGATGTTAATTATTTTATCACTTAAAATCAGTTGTACAAATTAATCCACTTACAAATTTTAATCAATATCTTAGTTGGAACTATAATTTGCATATCATAAATCAGTATAATTCAGAAGATCATATGTGAATACTGTGTCAGTTTATGTTGCAACATTTATCACATATCATCACCAGTAACAGAAATATCTTCATACTGTGCAAGGTCTCTGTGATGAACACTTAACAGTATCCTTTTTAAAATGAGACTTTAGGTTTAATGCTATACTTGCTGCAGTGCTTAAACACAAAACTGCATCTGTTTATTCCAGGGGTGGAAATGGATTTTCAGAGCCAGGAGATGCTCTAGTTTAAACTAGGTATATGCTACAGATCAGTAGAGAAGCCCAGGGGGTCAATCATCACATATTAAAAGGCAGTTATTAAAATGTAGACTCTTAAATTTGTTCCTGTTTGCAGTTCCTCAAAATTATGTAAATGGCATCTACCACAATTTCCAGCTCTGGTTTATAGGTAATGTGTTCCCCAGATGATAATCCAGGTCTCATGATTTCTTGTAGTTTCAGCTGTAGTAATGTTATTTTAATCCGTTTTTTCCATAAAAGAAATTATATACATTCTGTGAAGATGATTTCCCAATGATTGGAGTCAATTTTGCAATAAACATTTCTTCTGGTACTGATGCTAAACTCTGAGGATGTCCAAAATGGTCCAGCAAGAGTTGAGCCTTTTTCTCACCAACTCCTGGTATTAAGGAGAACAGTTTCAGCTGCCGTGCTGCTAGATCATCACATGATTTCTTCCACTGTTTGAATGGATTTCTTGGTGACTTGCATTCCACATACGCCTGTAGAGAAAGTCCCATGCAGTACAAACTTCCATAATTAAATCTCTATATAAATAAGAAGATTCTGGTATAGATGACCTTACTTTTGCAAAGTTATTGTTTGTTTTCCTATTCTCAGCACTCATTTTGTGCCCTGATTACACCCTTGATTCACTAAATGATTTTCACCCAAAGTTAAATGCAAATTTTGTAATTTGTCACAACTTCAGTAAGATGAAGTTGGTGATTGAGATTATATAAATTTACATTTGAAATTTTAAAACAACATTATTTAAAAATAGTTTGTTTCACATTAAAAAAGTAAATTTTGATTTAAGATATTTTCAAATGGTGAAAGTAAAGTAATATTGTCCCTGTGCTTAATTAATTAAGCATCATGCCATGAAGGTGTGTATGGGAGTGGAGGTACAGCTGCACTAATCTTGACCTTACCATTATATGGAAGTGAGTGGTCAGCTTTATGCCCTGGCTGCTTTATTCCCAGGAAGAAACCACTGGTACCCACTGGGGGCTGAGTGGGTCCCAGAGACCATCTGAACTATGTGAAAAACAGAAAAATCTCTTACCCTTGCTGGGATTTGAAACCCAGCTGTCCAGTCCATAGCCAATCACTATACCAACTGAGCTATCCTGACTCCAAAATATTCTAATGACCAAATAGAAACAAAATTATAAGGAGAGTGATGCAAGTGCACATTCAAACAAAAGATTTGTTCCAAAGGGAAGTCATGTCTGGCAGACCAATAATGTAAAATTTTCTTCATGACCACACTGTCTAGAAAATACATTCTAGTATGTGAGTACTTTTATGATCCCTTTTTGCCTTAATATCAATTATCGTTGGGTATCATAAAAAATAAACATAAAATGAGCATAAGCTTTCACTTTTATTTGTTAATGGTTTGGAAATTTTGAGTGAGACATGCCCATATTTACATATGTACAAAAAGGGATCCAAAACATAAAATAAGGTGTTACATACCATTTGAACAAGTAATTGTGGCAATTCGGAAACATTTCCTACTGGAATGAGGGTTATCTTTGATGTGAAACAGTGATTTTGAAGTTCTGAGAACTGTTTGATGGTTAAATTATTCCTGTCTGCTATAACCACTCCATGATGTTGACCAGTCTGTAACATTATATAATTTACAGAGTTTAACAAACAAAATGTAGCAGCATCTATAGTAAAAGTGGACACAAGATCAGAGGCATCACACTGCTATGTGGAATATTGTTTGTTGGACAAGTTGTAATTATGAATCAAAGGTTGGTATACAAAGCATAATGAGATGTGATCTTTTCCCACACCCTCATCAGTCTCTTACTGCTGTGACACACATAATGGAGGTTCTACACTGAGGACACGCCAGGAAGTACTCATGGATCACGGAAATGATCAGGCTTCGTGCTTTTTGTATACTGCTATGTTCCCTTCAGCTCTCTCTAGCATATGTCAACCAGGCCAACATCAGTATTCACCAGGTGACTCACTCACGTCACTCTTGGAGCTGAGCCCTTCTTGAGAAGCCGTCAATTGTGCAGCTTTCAAGAAATTCCCAGAATTTTATGGAACCTGAAGGTTCATTACCATGTTCACAAGAGCCCTCAACTGGTCCCTATTCTCAGCCAGTTCAATACAATCCACACCATCCCATCTTACCTCTCTAAGATCTATTTTAATATTCTTCACCCACCTATGTCTTCGTCTTCCCTGTGGTCTCTTTCCATCTGGCTTTCCCACCAATATCCTACATGCATTCATCTTCTCCCCCATTATTCACCAGGTGATCAGAAAGGAATGTAGGGAAGTACACTGGATGGGGAAGTGTAACTGCTTGATATGGAGGGTGTTGAGTCACAGGACATATTTCCATGTATATGTATCTTTATTTTAATTCCATAGATCCTTATTGGCTACCAAAGCCATCAGATATAGAACACGTCACATATGTATACATTAGTTCTAAGCACAGAACTAGTCACCTTACAACTACATTCATAAAAGAAACAATAATTATACATAATTCAGTAATTTAACAAGTATATAGGACTCATCAACTTGACAGTAATACTTATTGAGATCACAGCTTAAATATATAAACATATATGAGATTATAATAAATTAACTTATAAAATATACTATGTAAACACCATTATAAAAGGTTTAATTCATCTTGCATTTAAAATAGTCATCTAGTGTGTAAAATGAATGGGACTACAAAGAATTTTTCAAGGCTGATTTAAACTGTTTTGTATTATGGGACAAATTCTTTGTTGGAACAGGTAAGCTGTTAAAGAGCTTTATCCCAGTATAAACTGATAAATTGACAAATGAGATGCAAATCAGATTTGGTGCTAGTATTACTATTATGTTTCTCAGAATTTACTTTAAAATGATGTTATTACCGATCACAAACAATGAAAGTGAATATATATATTGAGACTGTAGTGGTAATATTTTTAATTTTCTAAAATATTCTCTACATGAATCTCTATTTCTAATCCCCACCATAATTTTAGTAATTGTCTTTTTTTGTAGTCTAAAAATTATATTGCTATTACCTCAGTATAGTTATAACAGATAAGCAGTTTTGCAGCACTTTATAGGACGAGACGGTCATGAGAATCAGAACACGAACCATTGCGGTTTAAACAGAATTGATGTGCATATATATGACATGCATAATATCACTTGATATTGTGGACGCTGACAACATGCCCGCTTACACGTTATCATTCCCCATCCTCCCTACTCGCTGGACTTATGCTCCTGTGATTTCGCTTTGTTTCCCAAATTGAAAATGAAACTGAAGGGACAATGTTTTGAAACAGGGTGTGACATCCAGAGGAAACTGCAAGCGATACTTGACAGCATTAAGGAAAATAAGTTCCATGGTGCTTCTTAAGTGGGGAATAAACGATGGTATCACTGTATATGGTCACAAGGATACTGCTTTGAAGGAAATCACAGCCAAAATTGAGCAAGTTTGTGTGTTTGTGCATGCACCAAAAGCAATACATACCTCAAGAATCTTCTTTAGTTTTCTTTCAAAAGAAACTCCAGAAATTAATTCACTTTCATTTATATAGACCACGGGGCACAGTTGTGACAGGTAGAAATCTATGATACCCAAGTTATCACAGTAGATACCTCTTCCTATAGCTAGAAATGGGAATAAAAATCATCTTTCAATTAATTGTAGTAATGGATGGGGGAGAATTTTCTACTTCTATAGGACTTTCTTGTAAACTATCTATAAATCTCAATGCATTGATCAGTTACCTTACTTTTGAGATCCATATACCATATTAACCTGAATATAATGCAACGTTCTTTTGAAATAGTGATTTTTAGAAAAGAGAAGTCACTTTATTTTCTAGGAACTTAAACGTAAATATGAGGATGATTATGAGGAATTACAACTGTTAATTTAATGGTATTTTTGTAAACATATATATCAGAATTATATGTAAGATATTTGAGTTTATTATGTCTTAGTGATATAGCTTTTACATCGTTTACCTTACAACACTCAAATCTAAATGAAATGTTAAATTTTGTCAAGAATTCTTTTAATGATTTTTCACAGGGAACATAAGGCATCCTCCTATATTTGGACTTCTATTGTAAGCAGAAAATGGACGTCTTGTATTTCAGAGAAGAAATGGTAAATGGCACAAATTTGAAGAAGATACTTATTCTCCAATTACAATTTCTCTTGTGTTCTGGATTTCAGCCTAGAGTCCTCACAGATAAATTATGATTCCAACTTGAACATATATTCACAGCACAAACATACAAGTCTTTGTAGGATCTGGGGTTCTTACAGCAATAGATATGAGGAGTTCCACCATCTGGAATATAATGCTATGTAGTACACTGCATGTCTACTAGTATTTCTGAGGAACATTTCGTCTTCATCTTCAGGGTTTAAAAGTAAGCCAAGCAAGAAACCAACATGATGCAGGCTTTTTATGTAATATGTAATATGTACCTGTAATATGTTCCTCAGAAACGTCGGCTGAGTTTAAACTGCCTATAAGTTGAACTGACAATGTGTGTGTTCTGTTAGTCGATATATTTCTAACCTGATAAATCTTTTTCAAACTTGCTACCTCTCCATTTCTCATTCACAAGTATACATCCTGCAGGCACATTCAGTCCCTTTGTAATAGGTGTTACACAGGAAGACATCATGCCACAGAATGGATATCAGTAAATATTAATCAAATCGTTACTGCGATGGTTTTCATAACCTCAATATTCAACATATAGATAAGTAACTAACGGTAACTATGGCAACCTTGGAACGCTTGGAACCCTTTGAACCTTCGAACAAACGACCGGGAAGTGAGCATATTTCCATATATTATCGCCAGATGGTATAAGCGTACTTGATCGACGTTGTAGACAGAGACTTGCAGCTGTATAGGAACGTTGGTCTATGTAGTCGTCCGTGATACTGGGTGCCACTTTTAGATTTCATCTGTGGTACCGTTGGTGATAATAGGCCATGTACTTTGGGTCTCTACTCTGTGATTCCGTGTCGGCAACATTTGGAACGAATCCGTCGACAGGAACTTTTGAATGCGTGTGGTGTAAAGAAAACTAGTTTTTAATAACTTGTGCTGTGAAGTTTATAGTAGGTGCAGTACGTATTAATAATCCACGATCGAAGTATTTTTGGGAATTCTCATAAAGTTGGAATAACTGTCACAACAAGAATGTTGTCTTTGAAATGTTGATTGGTGACAACTTGGCTGCCAAATCCACATCACTGAAGAAGGAAGTTGCATGGGGAATGTGAATAGTTTTTAAATGCCAGTAGGTATTACTTTCAGCCTGTCCATTAGTGTAGTAAGTCATACATATAAATCAAGTAAATTTTATTTCCACGTTACTGAAGTGACATTAGATTTTTTTAAGACATAGATCATGTTAATGGAGTGATATTAGCAAAGCAAATTTTTTTTGCATTGGTGATATATTTTTGCATATTTTTTTGAGAAGTGACCCAGAATCATATCAATGGTGGACATGGCTGGAGTTGGATATGGGCGTTCGGGAGTGTTAGAGACGCATGTAAGAGGTCAATGGTATCGAGTGTTTGTGACATTGGAAGATGATTACCTGAGCATAAGTTTAGATGAGAGTTATGAGAACTCTACAACGCTCAATGGGAGTTTGAATAACAATAACAACAACAACAATAATGTTGATTCTGGTACAGGACTCATGGACGCTGTTGATGTGCCAGAGTCAGTTGCTAATCAAAAAAGACGTGTGAGAGTGGTCAAGTCTGACAACAATGGTTTAGGGATATCAATTAAGGGTGGGAAAGAAAACAAAATGCCCATCCTCATATCAAAAATATTTAAAGGAATGGCAGCAGATCAGACTGAACAGCTTTATGTGGGTGATGCCATTCTCTCTGTGAATGGTGAAGATTTGAGAGATGCCACACACGATGAAGCAGTAAAAGCATTGAAGAGAGCTGGAAAAGTTGTTGAATTGGAAGGTAAGATTTACATGTTCTGTTCATTAACTTTGTAGCTTATGACAGCAGATTATAATAGTGAACCTAATTAAGGAGTGAAGTAAAAAAATCAGTGAAAAATTTTGTGTGGCACAAAATTTACCTTGGAGGAAAGGAGATTTGTATATTTACACAGTACTGAAAGCAGATGTGATGGTAATTTAGTTAATTATATTGTCATCTCTATTGTTTAGATTTTGTCAGGTTTGTTAGCATTGAACTCTATAGAAGTTGGATTTAATGAAAAGTGTTGAATGTAAACTTCCTTTTATTATGAACCACTGAGATTGAAGCATCATGACATCCATATTCTAGCTCTCATAACTAGATCTTTGCAATTTAAAGACATTCAGTGTAGGTCTGGCAGTGTAACAAGTAAACGATGGTTGGACAACCAGTGTTTGACTCCCAACAGGGAGTCAACATGGCCAGACTGACCCTGGGACCCCCTCAGCCTCATATCCATTGGATACAATGGGCTCTGTTGCCAAGGATAAAGCAGTGGACTTGAAGCTGACCACTCATCTCCATTGAGGTTGAGGCTAGGAATGCATGGAACTACGTCTTTGTTCTCTGAATATCCTGCTTCATTAAGACCATGGATGGCTTTACATCTTAAGTTCTATACATATATCTGGTCATTTATCTCAGTACTGAAATTGTCATTTCTGTATGAAGCACATGTTTTTTCTATCACAAGCATTTTGTAAGGAAGTGGACTAGACATACACATAACACTCTACCAATAACATGTATCCTGTCTTGGCATAGAATGTTGCATGTTGAAAGCATCTCTTGCCCTGACATATACCAGGGATTTTCAGTCTTTTGTAGTTTATAGTTATGCACATTTTAATAATACATTAATCATTAGTGTAATAGCTCAGGTGGCTAAATACTGGCTTTTCACAGCTGCAGCCTCAGGTGACTTCATGTGAGTTTTATGGTGGACAGAGTGGCACTAGAGCAAGTTTTATTTCTGAGTTTTTTCAGTTTTTGCCCTGCGTATGATCATTCCACCATTGCACCATACTCATTTATCATTTCCCTCTGAGGTGTTCTGTAATTCTGTTATTGCAATTGGTACACAGTTTGGCTTGTGTAATGTGGCTAGGTGTATTGAATAACATTAGAAGAAAGGTTGCGAAAAAAATTGGCATGAACATTTTGAAAGGATTCCCTCCCTTATAGAAAATTCCTATGGGAGAAGAAAAATTGGTCATCTCTGATCAAGGTGGAAGGATCAATTTATTTACTTTGCCTCAGAATATGACTTTATTCCGTTTTTTATCAAGTTGCAATGAGAACAAGAGCTGAAAACTATAAAACATTTTGTTTTCTTTTAAAACACCCACTGCTTGTTTTCCTGTATGTTTATCCACAGATACACATCCAGAGACAAATTTGGATATTAGGTGTTATTTTCATATAGAATGTCTTATTCAGAAGTTATGTCTGCATACCATGTGGCACAAAATATGTTTAAAAAAATGGTAAAATTGGACAAATGAATGAAACTCGTAAAAGTTGTGTAGAACATACCAAGATTTGTTTGGTTGAGTTGATTTGTTACATACAAAATATTTCTCATTTTGAATTTAAAAACAGGCATCTTAGAATTCAGTCAATTTTTTTTTGTCAGAATTGTTGTTGAATGAGACCCCTGTTCTTTTTTCATTGTGGCAGAACCTGTTGTTTCCATTGATGTCTCATTATGTTATTGTATGAGAGGCCACAGTTTTCAGTTCTTTATTGCAGTAACTCTAGGGACTGAAACAATTCACTCTGATCTTTTAACGCTATTTAAGTTTGTTCCAAATATGACACTGCAACTGATTTAGATGTGAGGGATTTGATGGCCATTTTGTAGATGTGGCAAGTTCAACTGTAACATCAACATTTTCAAAGGCTGGATAATGTGGATGTAAAAATGCTTATTGGTTCCTTGCTTGGCTTACTCTTTGACCCTGAAAATGGGGGCAGTTATGTTCCTCTGAATCAACATTACCCTTCTGCTAGACTTCATGATGTCACATACCAGAAGATACAGTACTCAGTAAAATTAACTTCAACTCTTTTACTGGAGGAAGGAGGGAGTGAGATAAAAGTATGAAAGTAATATTGGAAAAGAAGAAAAAGGGCGTAGAATGAAGATGCAAAAAACCCTCTAGTTGAGTTTCAGCAGCTTCTTTACTAGTCACATAAATTTAAGGTGACCATGGTATGGTAAACCAGACACAGACATATCAAATGGTTGACATGTTTTTGAACATGACACTATCAGCATTTTTGTTTTCTGGAGGTGATTTTGAAGGTAATATAGACTTCTAAGCTCTTACTACAATTGTGACAGAACTTTTTAAGTTTTGAAATGATTAACTGTGCCTACGTTTGTCCGCTTTTACCACCATGGACACTTCCAGGACTTAGGTATTGGTTCTTTGCAGAGGTGAGAAATGTGTAATCTATTTGAATTTGAGAACAGAATATGATGGTAAATGCATATGAAATTTTCTTTCCCTTTATGGGGCACAGGTGAAGTTAAATATGTAGTTCTCTGGTGTTCTTAGTGTTTTGCCTCTTTGCCCCAGAGGAATGTTGCTTATTATTCTAACTGCTTCCAAGTCCTCGGCAATTCAGTGTTCATAGTTACATTGGCATTAGCTATGACCTTCATGGCCGCCTCTGTGGTCTAGTGTTCAGAGTTCCTGGCTACAGATCCAGAGGTCCCGGTTTCGATTCCCGGAGCCACCAGATTTTCTGAGAAGTAGTGGGTCTGGAACGGGATCCACTCAGCCTCGTGAGGACAATTTAGGAGCTGTTTCAATGGAAAAGTAGCGGCTCCGGTCTAGAAAACCGAGATTAACGGCCGTCGGAATCCATTGCGCTGACCACGCGACACCCTTTATCCGCTAAAGTTGGCATTAACTTCGCTGTCAAGCGGAGGTCGCTCGGTCGGTATAGTTCGCTTGCGGACTAAAAGCCACGTAGTTATGACCTTCAGACGAGGATCGTTGTTATACAGGATAATTCAAAATGGAAACTTTAAAGAGAGCACAGACATTAAACTGTTCATATAACACAAACAGACTGATAATCGCACCAAGTTTCGTATATACTTTGCAGTCGCTAGCCATGAGCCCGACTAGTCACAAGGTATATATCGAGGTGACGCTTCATTACATTCCCCACCTTTACCTTCATATCGCTGAACTGACGCCATTGCTTGCAGGTGCATCCTTTGGTTTTAACATATGTGGCAACATTGTGAGATGAATTAGTATTTTATTATTATCTGAAAGTATGTACTTAATTTTTTAATTACTTTGTACTACTAATTTATGTATGGAGAGGAAAGCACTGAACATGAGATTTGAGCTTTTCGAAGCACTGAAAATCTGATTGTGGCATTCTGATTCATGACGGTGGGTACCGCCTCTGTGGTCTAGTGGTCAGAGTTCCTGGCTACAGATCCAGACGTCTGGGTTCGATTCCCAGCGCTACCAGAATTTCTGAGAAGTGGTGGGTATGGAACGGGTTCCACTCGGCCTCGTGAGGATAATTGAGGAGCTGTTTCAAGGAAAAAGCGGCTCCGGTCTAGAAAACCGAAATTAACGGCCATGGGGGTTAGTTGCCCTGACCACGTGACACCTTCAGTCCGCTAAAGTTGATATTAACTTCGCCGACAAGCGGCGGTTGCTCGGTCGGTATAGTTATCTTGCTGACTAAAACCACGGGGTTTGTTTTTTGTTTGATGGTGTTGCGTGGTGTGTGGTATAGACGTTTCGGAGGAACTTGTTTTCCTTAACCTTCTAGATGGAAATGGAGGCCGCAGTTTCCTCCGAAATGTTGGTGACTACCTGTTACTCGCGTAAGTTGCAAATAGTCTCACACTGACATGTGCTGCCACATCTCCCTGTCTGTGTATGAAGCGGAGTTAGCTAATTTACTTTTCATTATCGTTGTTTTCTTTCTGGCTATATGCAAAGGTACGCGGTACTGACATATACTTAAAAATAAGTATCCATTATTTAATATAAAGTAAGTGCCATTTTGGAAATTATCACTTATCAGTATCCAACGCCCATATCAAATTTCGTGAAAGTTGAGCGTTTGGTTGAAGAATAGGTTGGGGTGTGAGAGTGTTGTTCATAGCAGACCCTTACTGTCTTCATTTTATCGAGTCTTTCTACATCTTCTTGCTCTGTGATACGGAGAATCTGTTTGTACTGTGGGAGCAGCCATGGGGTGGATTTTGCCGCTGTCAGTTGTGTGCAAACCAAAGAGCCCAGAAGCCGGTTAAATGATTTAGCACTAGTAAGAAGAACGAAACAACAATAAAACACAAAGAAAATAAAAAAGGGCAGTTTGTATTATAATAATAATAATAATAATAATAATAGTGAAGGTAAAGCTCTCCCTGTAACAGGCCATGGAGGCCCATATTGTTGTGAGGCGTTGAGGGTCCCACATTTTTCTCTCTAGACAGTCGGCTCACAGATGGCGGTAAGGTTGTCGACCATACGCGCCGGCCGCCCTTAACCCCCCAGGAAGATTCCTGGTACTCATTTCTGTTAGAGGTTGAGTCGACCCCAGGGCCACAGTGCGGCTGGAAGGATTAGGTTAATTGAAAAAATCCACCTCATCGGGACACGAAACTACGGCCTTCCGGTTTTTTAGCATAGTGCCTCAACTAACTACCCTACCTCGTGCCCAATAATAATAATATAGTTATAGATTTTATTGCTAGTGGGGTTGGATTAAGTCGCTTGTACTGCGGCCACTTCTGGCCTATTGTACCAGCCCCAGATGATAAGTGAGGGTGATTGTGGAGCAATTGGTGGAATGAAGATTGGCAGGGGAAACCGAAGCACTCGGAGAAAACCTGCCCCAGCGCCACTTTGTCCACCACAAATCCCACTTGACCAGACCCGGGATCGAACCCGGGCCGCCGCGGTGGGAAGCCAGCGACTAACCGCTTG